CCTGTCAGTCATGTGAGAAGTGTAGCACACATCACTAAGACCTGTCAGTCATGTGAGAAGTGTAGCACACATCACTAAGACCTGTCAGTCATGTGAGAAGTGTAGCACACATCACTAAGACCTGTCAGTCATGTGAGAAGTGTAGCACACATCACTAAGACCTGTCAGTCATGTGAGAAGTGTAGCACACATCACTAAGACCTGTCAGTCATGTGAGTGAGTAGTGTAGAAGTGTATCACATCACTAAGACCTGTCAGTCATGTGAGAAGTGTAGCACACATCACTAAGACCTGTCAGTCATGTGAGAAGTGTAGCACACATCACTAAGACCTGTCAGTCATGTGAGAAGTGTAGCACACATCACTAAGACCTGTCAGTCATGTGAGAAGTGTAGCACACATCACTAAGACCTGTCAGTCATGTGAGAAGTGTAGCACACATCACTAAGACCTGTCAGTCATGTGAGAAGTGTAGCACACATCACTAAGACCTGTCAGTCATGTGAGAAGTGTAGCACACATCACTAAGACCTGTCAGTCATGTGAGAAGTGTAGCACACATCACTAAGACCTGTCAGTCATGTGAGAAGTGTAGCACACATCACTAAGACCTGTCAGTCATGTGAGAAGTGTAGCACACATCACTAAGACCTGTCAGTCATGTGAGAAGTGTAGCACACATCACTAAGACCTGTCAGTCATGTGAGAAGTGTAGCACACATCACTAAGACCTGTCAGTCATGTGAGAAGTGTAGCACACATCACTAAGACCTGTCAGTCATGTGAGAAGTGTAGCACACATCACTAAGACCTGTCAGTCATGTGAGAAGTGTAGCACACATCACTAAGACCTGTCAGTCATGTGAGAAGAACAGCTCACATCACTAAGACCTGTCAGTCATGTGAGAAGTGTAGCACACATCACTAAGACCTGTCAGTCATGTGAGAAGTGTAGCACACATCACTAAGACCTGTCAGTCATGTGAGAAGTGTAGCACACATCACTAAGACCTGTCAGTCATGTGAGAAGTGTAGCACACATCACTAAGACCTGTCAGTCATGTGAGAAGTGTAGCACATCACTAAGACAGTCATGTGAGAAGTGTAGCACACATCACTAAGACCTGTCAGTCATGTGAGAAGTGTAGCACACATCACTAAGACCTGTCAGTCATGTGAGAAGTGTAGCACACATCACTAAGACCTGTCAGTCATGTGAGAAGTGTAGCACACATCACTAAGACCTGTCAGTCATGTGAGAAGTGTAGCACACATCACTAAGACCTGTCAGTCATGTGAGAAGTGTAGCACACATCACTAAGACCTGTCAGTCATGTGAGAAGTGTAGCACACATCACTAAGACCTGTCAGTCATGTGAGAAGTGTAGCACACATCATAAGACCTGTCAGTCATGTGAGAAGACCTCACTAAGACCTGTCAGTCATGTGAGAAGTGTAGCACACATCACTAAGACCTGTCAGTCATGTGAGAAGTGTAGCACACATCACTAAGACCTGTCAGTCATGTGAGAAGTGTAGCACACATCACTAAGACCTGTCAGTCATGTGAGAAGTGTAGCACACATCACTAAGACCTGTCAGTCATGTGAGAAGTGTAGCACATCACTAAGACCTGTCAGTCATGTGAGAAGTGTAGCACACATCACTAAGACCTGTCAGTCATGTGAGAAGTGTAGCACACATCACTAAGACCTGTCAGTCATGTGAGAAGTGTAGCACACATCACTAAGACCTGTCAGTCATGTGAGAAGTGTAGCACACATCACTAAGACCTGTCAGTCATGTGAGAAGTGTAGCACACATCACTAAGACCTGTCAGTCATGTGAGAAGTGTAGCACACATCACTAAGACCTGTCACACATCACTAAGACCTGTCAGTCATGTGAGAAGTGTAGCACACATCACTAAGACCTGTCAGTCATGTGAGAAGTGTAGCACACATCACTAAGACCTGTCAGTCATGTGAGAAGTGTAGCACACATCACTAAGACCTGTCAGTCATGTGAGAAGTGTAGCACACATCACTAAGACCTGTCAGTCATGTGAGAAGTGTAGCACACATCACTAAGACCTGTCAGTCATGTGAGAAGTGAGAAGTGTCAGTAGCACATCACTAAGACCTGTCAGTCATGTGAGAAGTGTAGCACACATCACTAAGACCTGTCAGTCATGTGAGAAGTGTAGCACACATCACTAAGACCTGTCAGTCATGTGAGAAGTGTAGCACACATCACTAAGACCTGTCAGTCATGTGAGAAGTGTAGCACACATCACTAAGACCTGTCAGTCATGTGAGAAGTGTAGCACGCATCACTAAGACCTGTCAGTCATGTGAGAAGTGTAGCACACATCACTAAGACCTGTCAGTCATGTGAGAAGTGTAGCACACATCACTAAGACCTGTCAGTCATGTGAGAAGTGTAGCACATCACTAAGACTTGTCAGTCATGTGAGAAGTGTAGCACACATCACTAAGACCTGTCAGTCATGTGAGAAGTGTAGCACACATCACTAAGACCTGTCAGTCATGTGAGAAGTGTAGCACACATCACTAAGACCTGTCAGTCATGTGAGAAGAACAGCTCACATCACTAAGACCTGTCAGTCATGTGAGAAGTGTAGCACACATCACTAAGACCTGTCAGTCATGTGAGAAGTGTAGCACACATCACTAAGACCTGTCAGTCATGTGAGAAGTGTAGCACACATCACTAAGACCTGTCAGTCATGAAAAATGAAAGTGGGAAGTGCTTTCTCTGCCAGAAGTCAATGCCTGTCTGACTTTAAGTTTTAAATGATAATAAAATACTTGAAGTTTGGGAACCGACCATATGCGTGTTTAAGAACACTTCCCTCAGTCTTAAGTTAAATAATAGACATGTTTTCCCCATGGTATACTGCAATCTTGCATGTTTTTTATGTCAACTGTAAATATATTCTTAAAAAATTACAAGCACATGTGGTTTAATTTAGTAACAAGTTAAAAAAGCATATTTACTTTTGCTTTAGGCATATAAACAATGAGTATGGAGTTTTGATAATTAATCTGCAATTATCAGCTTTATCAGCCCCTGCAGCTAACCCAGCCAACTTACTTCCCTGCAGACATTCCACTTACTATGTTTAAGAAGTCAACCAAGTCCTTTTATTACAAGAGGTATACCCATTTTCACTAAATAATCTCCCTATTTTTATTATAAGGCCAGTATTGCAGGATTGATATGTTAATGGATAGATAAGGTGTATTTTGTCACATGAACTGATGAAGAGAAACCTCATGCAAATGGTATACACATATATATGTATGTACAAGTAATGAATTTCATGCAGATTTATTCAACTGCAAATCAGTCCATGTACAATGTACATGAGGTTCACTTCCCTCCTTTTCACTTCATCAGTCCATGTACAATGTACATGAGGTTCACTTCCCTCCTTTTCACTTCATCAGTCCATGTACAATGTACATGAGGTTCACTTCCCTCCTTTTCACTTCATCAGTCCATGTACAATGTACATGAGGTTCACTTCCCTCCTTTTCACTTCATCAGTCCATGTACAATGTACATGTACAATGTTCACTTCCCTCCTTTTCACTTCCCTCCTTTTCACTTCATCAGTCCATGTACAATGTACATGAGGTTCACTTCCCTCCTTTTCACTTCATCAGTCCATGTACAATGTACATGAGGTTCACTTCCCTCCTTTTCACTTCATCAGTCCATGCAAGCAACAAAACAGAAAATCAATACTTCATTTCTGTTAACTATTTTCAAAATCCCATAGCAGGTCCCTTTTTAACTTCAGTAACTTCATTCTTTGCCAGGCAACACAAATTTAGGTTCCAAAACACAAATTAATTATTTCAATACAGATATGATTGAAGTGAAATTTAACATTAGATGATAAACTTAAACGAGATGAAAATGCTGACATATAGCTTACTTTAGTGTTTTTCAGTGTTTTGGAAGGTCTCAATTTAGTAGCACAAAGGTGCTGATAAGGTGGAAGCAGTCATGACACGACACAGTGCAAGTGTAATGGTGCCCCCATATTATTTTAGTGTCAGTACTTTATGATATCTCATTAATAATCGTTAATGTGACAATACTTTCTGTAATGTCCGTGTTTTGTAAGATCACATGTTTTTTTAAACTATCTACATTATCCACATGTTTTTCAATGGTATAAAAAACGTGTGTAAAACAGCTGTTTTACATGTGAACAAATGCACAACAGACATGTACAGCAATGCTACAAAACGATGCACCATTGTATCAACCAGAACAAAGAGCGATGCAGTCCACTTACTTCACCAGGAAATGATGTAACTGGGTTTTACTACCTTATCAAGGCAAACCAGTGATGCAAATACATCCAAAATGCCCCAAAAAAAAAAAATATCACAGAATTTTTGATAATACAAAATATTTGTGTGCTTTCAACAGTTTTGAATAGGAATATTCTAATGCACGAGCTCAGTGATTTTTAATAAATTTATCTTTATTACTTCTTAATGGAGTCAGAAGATTCAGCAGTCCTTGCAAGAATGATGATTTTGTTTGCTGGAATTTTCATCCCTTGAACAGCTATAGGGTCATTTTGAGGTGGTGTCTCCTGGTAGTAGCTGGTGACTGCCTCACTGAACAACATACAGGAGGCCCATCACGTCATCCAGAGCAATTAGGGTCGGATCTTCAGCTCAGGATAGTTCAGCTTATGTCAGCTAACACTCTAACAACTGAGTTATTGCAGCCAACAAAACAATCACTAAGTTGTAACATTTATACTATTAAGGCTAAATTCAATTCACAAAAACCAGTTTACAAAAATGCATAGCTCTTTCCTAAAAAAAAGAAACATAAACCAAAAACATAATATATAAACATAACCATTCATGCTACAATGAACTTTTCTATAGAAGTATTCTTTTGGTTTGATCTACAGACATTTAATCAACAAAACAACAACTACTTACACATGAAGAGATTGAACATGTTTGCTGGCAAGTTGTAAAATGAGTGCTGCAGTGATACACAGTCGTACATTTATATAAAGTCACAGCAGATGTTGTAGAGTGATTTTCTTCCTTCTAAATAGTAACTCAGAAGAGTTGGTGACAGGCTACCTCACCAGTGGTTGGTAGTTAAAATCCACACCAGATGTGTTGGAGAATGCTACATGTGCATCAGTCTATAGGTACACAGACATTTCTAGATCACAGTATCGGCATGTTTGTACACGGGGACCCTGAGTATCTACTTCAGCATCAGCTACAGTACTAGTGACTGTGTACACTATAATCGGCAGTATAACTGTCAGCAGAAAACTCTCTCAAGACATCATACTGCACAACACAGTCAAATAGTACAGAACTCCACGTGGCATTTCAATCAATTGTAGCCAGATAATTGGTGAGAGCACCTGCCCTTGTAAGTTGTTGTTAGTCGCCAGTACAATAGATGCTGCTACCTGTTAATTCACACTGGCAGACAATCTTACAGTAACCACAGCATGTACACTATACTGATTTTCATGTGCTAATCAATGTAGGTACTGATGTAAGCAACTGTCAGGCACTCTACAGTCACTGTATCACAGCTGTAAATATTGACCTTTCACTGACCCCTACCAGGATCAGTAGGTACATTGTGTAGATCTAATAGGATTTACACCTGCTCAGCAGTACCAATATTTACCAGTACGACATTGTAGGGAGGTTCACATGTAGGTACAAAGTTGTAAGTGTTTCTACTGGAGTATTACATATTCTATATGCATGAAGATCTTCATAGAATCAACACAACAGGTTTTTCTTCCATGTAATACATCTGATAACTATATTTCATCCATTAAGTGTTTGTTTTAATTGTCTTCCTCCAAAAACAAACCACACTGCCTAAACCCTGTCACTGTAAACTTCCATCTCTCATTGTCACTGTCTGTAAACTTCCATCTCTCATCATTGACAGTATAGCAAATTATCCTTTTATGTTTATCTCTTGTCATTGACAGTACATCTAACTATCATTTGTATTTATCTCTTGTCATTGACAGTACATCTAACTATCATTTGTATTTATCTCTTGTCGTTGACAGTACATCTAACTATCATTTGTATTTATCTCTTGTCATTGACAGTACATATAACTATCATTTGTATTTATCTCTTGTCATTGACAGTACATATAACTATCATTTGTATTTATCTCTTGTTATTGACAGTACATCTATCATTTGTATTTATCTCTTGTCATTGACAGTACATCAAACAATCATTTGTATTTATCTCTTGTCATTGACAGTACATCAAACTATCATTTGTATTTATCTCTTGTCATTGACAGTACATCAAACAATCATTTGTATTTATCTCTTGTTATTGACAGTACATCTATCATTTGTATTTATCTCTTGTCATTGACAGTACATCTAACTATCATTTGTATTTATCTCTTGTCATTGACAGTACATCTAACTATCATTTGTATTTATCTCTTGTTATTGACAGTACATCTATCATTTGTATTTATCTCCTGTCATTGACAGTACATCTAACTATCCCTCCATATTCATCCAATGGCACACTGCCAGTACATCTAACAATCCATGCTGATCACTACCAATAAAAAGAATACTTTGTGCCAGTCACTGTTGACACAATAAATAATCTGTGCTGATCACTGTTGACACAATAATCTGTGCTGATCACTGTTGACACAATAATCTGTGCTGATCACTGTTGACACAATAATCTGTGCTGATCACTGTTGACACAATAATCTGTGCTGATCACTGTTGACACATTAAATAATCTGTGCTGATCACTGTTGACACAATAATCTGTGCTGATCACTGTTGATACATTAAATAATCTGTGCTGATCACTGTTGACACAATAATCTGTGCTGATCACTGTTGACACAATAATCTGTGCTGATCACTGTTGACACATTAAATAATATGTGCTGATCACTGTTGACACAATAATCTGTGCTGATCACTGTTGATACATTAAATAATCTGTGCTGATCACTGTTGACACAATAAATAATCTGTGCTGATCACTGTTGACACATTAATCTGTGCTGATCACTGTTGACACATTAAATAATATGTGCTGATCAATGCTGATACAAAAAATAATCTGTGGTGGTCACTGTTGACACAATAAATAATCTGTGCTGATCACTGTTGACACAATAATCTGTGCTGATCACTGTTGACACAATAATCTGTGCTGATCACTGTTGACACAATAAATAATATGTGCTGATCAATGCTGATACAAAAAATAATCTGTGGTGGTCACTGTTGACACAATAAATAATCTGTGCTGATCACTGTTGACACAATAATCTGTGCTGATCACTGTTGACACATTAAATAATCTGTGCTGATCACTGTTGACACAATAATCTGTGCTGATCACTGTTGATACATTAAATAATCTGTGCTGATCACTGTTGACACAATAATCTGTGCTGATCACTGTTGATACATTAAATAATCTGTGCTGATCACTGTTGACACAATAATCTGTGCTGATCACTGTTGATACATTAAATAATCTGTGCTGATCACTGTTGACACAATAATCTGTGCTGATCACTGTTGATACATTAAATAATCTGTGCTGATCACTGTTGACACAATAATCTGTGGTGGTCACTGTTGACACAATAAATAATCTGTGCTGATCACTGTTGACACAATAATCTGTGCTGATCACTGTTGACACATTAAATAATCTGTGCTGATCACTGTTGACACAATAATCTGTGCTGATCACTGTTGACACATTAAATAATCTGTGCTGATCACTGTTGACACAATAATCTGTGCTGATCACTGTTGACACAATAATCTGTGCTGATCACTGTTGACACATTAAATAATCTGTGCTGATCACTGTTGCTGATCACTGTTGACACATTAAATAATCTGTGCTGATCACTGTTGATACAATAATCTGTGCTGATCACTGTTGATACAATAATCTGTGCTGATCACTGTTGATACAATAATCTGTGCTGATCACTGTTGACACAATAATCTGTGCTGATCAATGCTGATACAAAAAATAATCTGTGGTGGTCACTGTTGACACAATAAATAATCTGTGCTGATCAATGCTGATACAAAAAATAATCTGTGCTGATCACTGTTGACACAATAATCTGTGGTGGTCACTGTCAACAATGATGTGAGCTGATCATGGCTGATACTCCTGGTAATTATCACTCTGACTAACAATAAATGGTATCATTACCAACAATAGACAGGAAATTTCTAGTCCATCTTAAAACCATTGCACAACTAACGTTAACATTCCAAATGAAGTAGTTTTTTGTTAAATCCTTTTAATACTGCTGACAGACAGGTCTGTAATGAGGTACTTGTCCTACACACACACACACACATGGGGATACACACCACTTACAACTGTGTATAAATTAATTAGCACATAGTTTCCATTACCGCATCTGCACATGGAGAATATTAATTCTTCTGCGTGGTAATCACCACCAATCAAAAGGTTCTGATGTCAGTAACATGCTCCACACAATCTGTAATGTTAATACACTACATGTTTTTATGCTTCCTAAAGTCAGCAGTCTGAAAACTTTTGGACACATGTAGGGTTACACTTTACCTGTGATGAACAGCACTAGATATATTTTTTTCCTTTCTTGTCTATGGTCTGTAGAAGAAACATCCAGTACAATTCTCAGATTAAATTCTAAGATATAGTAGTTAGTCACACAATGTAGATCATCACTGATATCCAATTAACATCAATGATACACATAATCACTAAGTAACATATTGAAAGCCAATACATTCAGCTCCACATGGACTCTCCCTCGTCCTGTATCCTACTGTAGATCTCCTTTGTTGGTCTGGGTATCTTGAGGACATGATGGACTGATTTGGGCCCCATACAATACAGATTACAAGCTAGCAGCTTTATTGGAATTTTAATTATGACAAATTTTCTTCCATGTCTGACTTGCTGCTACAGTACAATGGACAGGAGAATTGGAAGGTGGAGTTAAGATAGAACATGGTGGCATGGTTAACAAAGGAGCACATGGAGAAAATAGCATTTTCTTTTAATTATGCAAGATCTCCAGAGAGACAAAGACAGAAAAATAAAATCCTGTTCGATCATATCTGGGTGGGAAAGGGAAAAGTAACATGTTTGATAGAATGCACCGAACATCTAGTGCATACATTGCAACTAATACATAGAAATATTACTACAGGTTTTAAGTAACATACATATCTAGCAATTAAGTTAACACTTCCATATCAACTTTTCTATATGTATTTAAACAAAGGTTACAAGAAACACCTCGATCACATCAATCCATACAAGTAAACATATATATCACTTGTGTTCATGTGACTGAATGTTTACAGGTAGTTTTATATAAACTTAAACAGAATCATGTGACTGTAGATTATGGATGTATGAATGTTTACAACTGCAGGTCATAAACCCATTCAACATGTGACTTCAGTCCATAGAGATATAATTATATCTCACCAGTACTCGATCATGATAAGCATAGCCAACATGCTGTATGCCTTTACACAAACAAATCAGCACATATGTTGATAATGCTTTATAGATCTTAGTGGGCTTTTTGTCAAATGTGTTTTAAGGATCATTATACTGTGTGTTTGTACTTATTAGGACCATTATACTGTGTGTTTGTACTTGTTAGGACCATTATACTGCGTGTGTTTGTACTTGTTAGGACCATTATACTGCGTGTGTTTGTACTTGTTAGGACCATTATACTGCGTGTGTTTGTACTTGTTAGGACCATTATACTGCGTGTGTTTGTACTTGTTAGGACCATTATACTGCGTGTGTTTGTACTTGTTAGGACCATTATACTGCGTGTGTTTGTACTTGTTAGGACCATTATACTGCGTGTGTTTGTACTTGTTAGGACCATTATACTGTGTGTTTGCACTTGTTAGGACCATTATACTGCGTGTGTTTGTACTTTTTAGGACCATTATACTGCGTGTGTTTGTACTTGTTAGGACCATTATACTGCGTGTGTTTGTACTTGTTAGGACCATTATACTGTGTGTGTTTGTACTTATTAGGACCATTATACTGTGTGTTTGTACTTGTTAGGACCATTATACTGTGTGTTTGTACTTGTTAGGACCATTATACTGTGTGTTTGTACTTGTTAGGACCATTATACTGTGTGTGTTTGTACTTGTTAGGACCATTATACTGTGTGTTTGTACTTGTTAGGACCATTATACTGTGTGTTGTACTTGTTAGGACCATTATACTGTGTGTGTTGTACTTGTTAGGACCATTATACTGTGCATGTTGTACTTTATAGGACCATTATACTGTGTGTGTTGTACTTGTTAGGACCATTATACTGTGTGTGTTGTACTTGTTAGGACCATTATACTCTGTGTGTTTGTACTTGTTAGGACCATTATACTGTGTGTTTGTACTTGTTAGGACCATTATACTGTGTGTTGTACTTGTTAGGACCATTATACTGTGTGTGTTGTACTTGTGAGGACCATCATACTGTGTGTTTGTACTTGTTAGGACCATTATACTGTGTGTTGTACTTGTTAGGACCATTATACTGTGTGTGTT